CTTTCCTTCCTATCCTGCTGGCCTGCATCCTCATCTCTTTCTTGTACATTCTTGTCACCTCTCATGTTTCCTCTTTAATTAATACTTTTTAAGATTCCACATTTGGGGAAATGTCACATTTCTGAGTCTGGCATATTCTACTTTGTATGATAACCTCCATTCCATACATTTTGCATATGGCATGTTTCCATTCTTCTCGTAGGTGACTAATATCTCATTGTGTAGATATACCACATTTCCTTTATTTATTTATCTGTTGGCCAGAAGCTAACCAACTGTGCCACAACAAACATGTGTTTGTAGTTATTTGTAGAGTATGCTTTTATTCTTTTGGGGCTATACTGGGTAGAACAGCTGGATCAAATGGTAGCTCTACTTTGTGTGGGGGGCACTGGGTGTTGAACCCAGGGCCTTTGCGGTGAACTATGTTCCAAACACTTTTGTCTTTTTATTTTGAGGCAGGGTCATACTAAGTTGCCAAGACTGGGCTCAAACTTGCAATTCTCCTGCGACAGCCTGCAGAGTACTGGGATTACAAGCATGTACCACCATGCCAGTCTTCTACTTTCAGCTTTGTGAGCAACCTCCGTACTGACATCCACAGTGGCTCGACTAGCTTACATTACCATCAACAGCATAGAATCCAACATCTAAAGGATACACAGAAATACAAAGATAGTCAGAACACTGTTTTCAAAAGCATGAGCATTTGCTCTACCAGAGGACACACAGAATAGAAGACAATATGATGTTCACATGAAAGTCCAATATCTGCTCTGGCAGCCAGCCTTGAGCCATGTGGTTAGTCACAGACACCGCCTGCTTCCATCTGGCGGTTGTGTCATTCCCTGCTCCATGCAATTCAGCAGGAAGCAGAAGACAACACACAGAAGCACATTTCTTAACTGCCTTAGCCAGCTTTCACTGCGTTGGCGCTTACACGACATGTGTTTCTTTCACTTTCACGATATCGGCAACATGCCGATCACGTGTTCCACTTCAGTCAGGAAGATGGAGCAGAGGAGTGTCACCTGGCAAGCTGTCATTTCCCAGCAGTAACTCTACAAGTAGGCGCTCCAGCCTGGAGTGGCCCCTACTCCTGCCTCAGCAATCTACTGTGTTGCTCTTTCATCCTCCACCCATGAAAGTCACAGGAAAGTTACACTGCACTGTGGGCAGCATAGACTTATAGTTCATCAGGCTTCATATTTGAAGAAAGCTTCTCCTGAATATGAGAATATACAACGAGACCATTAGGACAGGTTCAGAGGGAAATGGGGACTTGGAAATGGACAGAACAGTTATTCAAGACACCATCAGAACAATGTATTTGAAAGGAGAATATGGGTGAACACGCGGCAGGGGGATCTGAATTACTTCTCAGGACACAGCAACAAGTCTGAAGGTCATAAACACAAATGGTTCCTGGAGCCAGGAGAGTGCAATCGCTGGCTGAATGGGTGAAGAGTCAGGAGGGAGAGACAGGTTCAGCCAAGACCCCTGCTACAGCCTCCTCTCCAGAGGCTGTCACTGCTCAGCTCTGACATCCTGCAGAAATGGAGCAATAGACACCCACACCAACCGGCATCACAGAGGTCTTTAACATAGGGTAAGAAAGTATCTCCTGGCATCCTGCCCTCCCTGGATCTACCATGTGAAGTACAGGCCCGACCTCTGTCAGCCTTGCTCATGCAGTGCCCCTGCTCATCCAGCAGGGAGCGCTCTGTGCTTGGCCAGCAGGAGCCCATGCAGGACATACCGGTCTCCTAACTGCTCTGGACCCAAAGCCTTTGGAGAATCGCACTGTTTACATGAGCAGACTCTAAGGGTACAGCTCCTTCCTGATCCTCCCATTTCTAATTTTATAAAAATCTCACATTAACAACACATTCTCAGCTACGTTTTCTTAATGAATAGAGGGATTTGTTCTAATAGTGTTTGTAAACAGGATATCATGTCTGCATCTTGTACAACAAATAACCACTAAGAAAGCAATATGCAATGTATTAATTATTGAAACTGCCCTACTAATTTGATTTGAAACTGTCTCATTGCTATTTGTTTCTCAATAAAATTATAGGAGAAAAAACACGCATTCTCAAGCCGTCCTGCAGAAGTAAGTGTTATTAAATGATTATAGCATGTTCAGTAAAGTCCAGGACAGAGACAAGGTCAGTGCACAGTGCGTCATGTTCACTTCACCTCACACTTTCCCAGCAGGGACATGGCAAGGCAGATGCCCCGGAATGGGATTTGGACAGAGGTTGTCACATGGGGTTTGTTATCAAACCCCAGCAAGACACACTTGGAAGAATCTTGGCTACAGTTGGGATTGCTGGATCTGAGGCCTCATTGCAGGAGTTGCCCACAGCCCTCAAGGAGATCTGAGAAATTTGACCACCCACCTCCATGAATCAACAGCAAGATGGGCACAGTACCTAGTGACATCATGGGCTGATTGTCCAGCAGGGAGGGAATGCGTCCCTTTAGTCAGGAGAGGAGGGAAGACAAGCTCTTAGGCTCGACCTTGTAGTTTACTTTGCCTGACACAGATTTTATGAGCTGTGTTTTTGGTTAAATTATATAAGGAGTGAATGAGTAGGAATCTGAACATAAATTCTGCCTCCATCTCTGAAATTACCCATAAAATAATTATGGGTATTTTTAAAAACTTTCTTTAGGTGAATAATTTTTTTAAAGTGCATAGGGAATTGTGATAGTTTATTGTCACTCATGTCTCAAAATTGGTTTAAAATAATCAGATAAGTAACGAATCCATTACAAATTCTCACCACTTCAAAGATATTTTGGATTAATATTAGGTAATTAGTGAAAATAGCAAATATATCTAACAAGATTATCAAAATGAGCATCTGGCCATAAAGCAGATTAACTTATTCACCTGAGTTAAGAACAAGTCTACAGCACTCAAGGTTCTCCAGAAAAGCAACATAGACATAGAGACTGATTCATTATGAGAAATTGGACGAGTTAGCTAAGAGGTCTGAGACATTCCATCACCTGCTGTCTACCATCATGCAGACCCAGGGAGGCCAATGGTATGACTCAGTCCAAGGCCAGAAGCGTGAGAATCTGAGGAGTTCACGACACAGCTCTTGGTCTCAGTACAGGACGTGATGAGATGTCCTAGCTCAAGTAGTCAGGCAACAAAAAAGGGGAGGAAAGAAAAACAGACGAGACTTTCTCCTTTATCCACTTTTGGTTCTATCTGGCACTCAGATGAGTGGAGGACATTTATTCCCTTTTGGGAGAGCAATGGACTTCCTCAGACCCACGTGCAGGACTTTAGTTTTATCAGGAAACACCCCCCCCCACACACATATAACCAATACTGGGAATCAGGGGACCCCAAGCCATCAAGTGTCTCACGCAAAAAAATTCACCATGGTGTGTTTTCCATGGCCAGCAGGTGTCAGCCCTCGGGCACTGGTAGTTAGAGCCCAAGTCTAGCCGCCCACTGGACTTCTCAGTTCCGTAGACATTCATCTTCCTTGCGATGCCCCTCGGGCCCATAGTGGAGCCAAGAACTACTGTGGCCAAAAGTGAGCAAGAAAGTGTGCCTCTATCTGCTTCTTAACAAAAAAGCCAGAAATTTGCTACATTCTCCTGCTGATAAGGATTCATCAAAGAAAACACACACACACACACACACACACACACACACACACACACACACAACTTGAAAATCAAGTGAAGGACCTGATCCCTTTGCTAACTCTATTTTAATATTTTTTAAACTTCCATGTAGTTTTCCTGTAATCTGGGCCTCACAACAACAAATGCTTTCCTCTGGCTGCAGGAAGAGTAAACTGCCCTAAAGGGGCCGCATCCCAAATTACTGGGATGCCCAATTGAGATGCTTCAGGCTTCTTTTTGCTTCAAGCACCCTTCCTTTTCTGAATCCAGTCCCAGCCAGAGCACAGGCACACTAGAAGGTGCCCCGACCTTCAGGAACTTCTTCCCCCTTTGAACCTCACTGAAGGTTCACAGACAAGGGTTGCACCTGATGTGCACAATGCACGCAGAGTGAACTCTGGGGCACACGCGCAGTTACGGCACCGCTGAGCTGACTCAGTGCCGATCAATCACTGCTCTCAGTCTTATCAGGAGCCCCACCCCTGGGCTGGGGTGCACACCCTTTAAAATGCAAAGCCTGGGGCATCCCTGTGCTTTTTACTTTCATGTCATCCTGACACCACTTTTCCTGTTCCTGCCACCTCAGTACACATTCCCAGCATCTTCAAAACGTGTACTTGCTTTCTCCTTTGCCAGTGGATGTATACTTGCGGTTCTTTTCTACTCAATATACACAAGATTTGGAAATCTAGTGCACAGCGTGATGGAAACCTGGGAATAAAAACACTCATGAAAAACAGGTGGGGAAGAGATTGAAGAGGGATCAAAATACACTCACTTGTAGGGCAACCTGTCTTTAAGTAGGAGTAAATTAAACTAGGATTCTTCTTTTAAAAAGACCTTTAGGGGCCGGGGAGATGGCTCAGTGGAATAAGCGCTTCCCTGGCAAGCACAAGGTCTGAGTTTAATCCCTGGTTCCGCAAAATAAATAAATAAATAAATAAATTAATTAATTAATTAATAAATAAAGAACTTTTGTTTTCCCTTTAAGTCAAGTGTATTGCTATTTCAATAAACTTCTTTAAAATGAAAAAAAAAAGTCACACTCTCTCAAATGCAGTAGGAAATTATTTTATTGCTGTAAATGCTTAGCAAAAGTGACAAAAGCCTAGAGCTTTCCCTCCTTTCCACATTGCCTGGCTCCAACACAGACAGATCTCCAAGCACAAAGAAATTGTTCATCTATGTATTCAGTCCCAGGTCTGCTACAGTATCCTGGCTCTCTAATTGTCCCAGAACCTCTACTCTTTCTTTGTGGCAACAAGAAAATCAGAAAGAAAGATGATGAAGGAAAACGAGAAAAACAAAAAAGCAGAATATACTGTTATAGAAACTACCTGTGAAGACAGACAAAAACTGATGAAAACTTTAAAGGACTCAGTCCAAGTATACAGGCAGCAGGGGATCTCGAGGGTCACCTGGCTGACGCGGGTCACAGGCCACAATGAAGTTTTGAACTCTATGAGTATCCGTGTAGCGGCAGTTAGGAAACTGGTCTTTTCCAATAAGCTGGCATTCAGTCATTCTCACAGGACATGCACTGAGGTGGCACTTGTTCTGACCACTCCTGCAGGGTGTTGTGGGCAATCTACAGATGGCAATCACATCCTGGGGAGCCTTGTGGAGAAAGGTGTGTGTGGGCGTACACTTCTGAGCAGCTTTGTTGACAGAAATCATTGCCTGGTCGCATGGGAGACTGTTTGGCTGTACGTGCTGAACTTCAAACTTCTTAAAAGGGGTCTGAGCAGAACAGGAACGCACGAGCCCCAGTAGGCCCAACAGCAGCAGGAGAGGCGATCTCAGGACTCACACCATCGCTTCTGTGGAGGAAGAGGGAAGAGCGTGGTAAGGACGGAAGCAAAAGAGCAGAGTTATTGATCATCACTATTTATACTGTTGTTTTGCTTTCAAGGAGCTCATAACTGTAAAAAAAAAAATCTCTCTCACATAACCTCAAATTCCAGGGAAAACAATGTGAGATAAGCAAACATCTTTTTGTGACCGGCACCCCCCATTCTGCCTCTGACCTCTGCTCCTGCATTCAAAACACTCAAATCAAGAATCTGGGTTTTTACCTCTCCCCTGCTGACATGCTGAGCTTCATCTCTGACCACCTCCTCCCAGCCTTCTCCACTGCCCTGCTAATCCCAGCCCTCAGGTTTTCCCTCTTACCGGGTCTCCGTGTTTCGTTTGCCCTGAGCTCTAAGGGTCTAAAGAACCTTTCTGTTCTGTGTCCAGCTGATCAGCACTGCTTTCCGGAGAAGAGAAGGTATGTTTTTAGCCCAGAAAAGAGAATCCCACCTCTTAGCAGATGTGACTCCTTAAATAAAGCAGAACTCACAAGAAAATCAACCTTCAGCAAATTTTCCAGAGAAGTCCCCTCCCTGAAAGCACACGCCTATGGGAGGATACAGATAAGGTTAATACCTGTGCTTTGCTCTGTAGAGCCCTGTGGCAGCCTGTCCCCACCAGGATCTGCTTTTCTAATGGCTGACCTAGCTCTGTCCCTGATAAGAATGACCCTGATGGTTCTGAAGGAAGAGTCCTGTAACTCCCTATGACATCTGCAACATCCAAGTTTGTGACATCCTGCTCTCCCCAGAAAGTTAAAAAGGTTCTAAGGAAGCAAACTTTCACTACAAGAATGTCTGCATCTCTCTGAAGCCTTAGCTGCTTGGGTGCCACTGAACAAGAAGAATGCCTGTCCTATGTATAAACCTGGAGCTGTTTCCTAGTCTCACACTCAGGCTTTAGGAAGCCACCTGATTGGGGTGCACATAATGAAGTCCTCCTACTTCCTAGGTTTCACTCTATGTCTTAAAAATTCTGCAACACTTATGTGTTGGGAGCTGCAGGAAGCTGGGAAATTGATCAAATGCATGTTGGTGGTACTGGGCCTCAGTGCCTAAAGCGAACAAGCTACCTCAGTCCTGAGAAAGACATCCTGTCTGGTTCAGGCCAGCTATTAGTCTCTAGGCAACCCTGTGCCACGTGTTATAAACTTTGCAAAAGTATAAATAAAAGATTGTTTCGTTGTGCGTTGAGTTAGTCTTGCCCATCAGGCAGACTAGTGACCACCTAGCCCAGCTTTTTGTCTTGTCTGTCTTTTTCATTCCTGTCACCGTGTCCTCCCGGGTAGAACCGTTCGTTCTCAGTAAGACCAGTGGATCCCTACACTTATGCAGATGTGTCTCTAGACATTTCATCTTCTATTTGAAATTATAACATTGTCCATATTTACAGAGAACAAACTCTTCTTTGTGTAACAAGTTTACTCCAATCACAGCTTGAAGGAATTGATCAACTCCTCATAAAAATTTCATGCTTTCTTCTTGATTAGAAGCTTCAAGTTTTGGGCTCTATCATTTTCTTTTTTTTCTTTTTTTTTTTTCATTTTCATTTTTTATACAACAATGTCAAAGTGGTTTTTCAGCTCTTACATATTTGGTAATATTGTGTGCTGCAACAATAGATGTGAATGAATTATTGGCTCTTGTCTGTGTTTATTGGCCCAGACCTTGCACCACTGAGCTGCAGGAGGTCCTGTTCCACTGTGAGAGAAATCAGGCAGGTAGACAAGTCTGTTATGCCTATGAAAATAATGACAGAGAGCATTTGCAGTTCATGGAGGACACTGCATTGGCTGAGGGAGACTGAGGAGAGCAAGCATATAGAGGCCATTCACCTGCACTGCATACTGAGGAGAAAGTAGGCCTAAATGCTAAGGCCTAAAAACAGGAAATTGTGAGTGAGGAGACCCATAAGCCTGAAGGGGAGAGGAAACTAGAGCATTTGCACTACATTTAACACTGCTGTCCAATGCTGCTTCTTCTTCTTCTTCTTCTTCTTCTTCTTCTTCTTCTTCTTCTTCTTCTTCTTCTTCTTCTTCTTCTTCTTCTTCTTCTTCTTCTTCTTCTTCTTCTTCTTCTTCTTCTTCTTCTTCTTCTTTTTTTCAGAACCGGGGATTGAACTCAGGCCCTTGTGCTTGCCAGGGAAGTGCTTATTCCACTGAGCCATCTCCCTGAACCCCCCCCCTTTTTTTTTAAAAGACAGCTATTCAGAATGTAGCTTATGTTGGCCTTGAAATCTCACTGTGTTCTCCAGGCTGGCCCTAGAACACCTGGAAATCTGCTGACTTCTCCTGATTCCTGACATTCCAGGTACAGGACACCATGCTCAGCATGTACAATGCTTCGTTTCGTTCTGACATTTACAGGGAAAACACATGTCTATATGTGGTTTGCCTATACTCACATTACTTAAGGAACACACAGATGTAGACAAAATCACTGGAAGTTTGTTGGTGATGTTCAAAGTTAGCGTCTCTCTGTTGCTGGGTAAACTCTGCTGGCCTAGAACTTGCAGTCCTCCCACCTCAGCCTCCTGAATTCTGGGACTTTAGAACTGTGCTATCCTATCCAACTCAAAACTCAATTGCTTTTTTACATATCATCAACGAACATAAGAATTTGAACTTAAAACCACAACATCACTTACATTACCCCCAAAGAAAGGTGAAGTGCTGAGGCATCCACTTCTTTAGAGATGTGAAGATTGGGTGTTACTCGGGTGTTCATTGCTGGGACCACATGACGTACTGCGGTGGTTGGGGGTACCGGTTGGGGGTGCAAAGGCTCAATTTGGGCCCTCAGCAGAGGTAACTACATTCTTCTGCCTGTCTGCCATCACTACTACAAAATAGCCTAGAAAAATGCAAATCTTACTTGATTGAAATGCGTGCCAAATTATTAGGGCAAATAGGCCACCCCTCCCCCAGCTCAGCTGCCAGCAGCACTAAGCTGCAGAAACACTTAGCAACTCCATGCTTCTAGGTAGCAAGTCACGAGGATGGAGGTGTCTCGTCTCAATTTGATCCATGCACTGAGCTCAATAATAAATCAGAAAGTTGTTTTGTGAATATTAACAAATACATTGTGAAGTTTGTATGAAAAGGAGAGATTAACAACAGTCAACATGATGTAGAAATAGTTGCATGAACTCAGAAGATTTCAAGAACCCAACTTGAAAATGCTATTCACCCCTAGTGATCAAGAAAGTACGCCAGTCAGCTTCCATTGCTATAGTGGAAACCCCCCTGATGATCCATTTAGGTGATCCCGGCTGTCAGGTATGGACAGGAGGGAAATTGGATGCCACAGTGATGCCTACAGGTGGGGCCTTTGGGGAGCGATGAGCATTACATAAAGTCATCAGGGCAGGACCTCAGGATTGGGTTCTGATAGCTGTAAAGTGAGAAGGAGAGAGGCCATTCACACACCCACCACCCTATCTCTTGCCAGGTGACATTCAAGACACCTTGGGACTCTGCCCCATGCACTTGTGCCCTCTCCACCCCTCTCCCTCTCTCATGGGCCCTGGAATGATGCAGGGACTGCTGGGTCTCTAGGAACTCAGCAGAAGCCCCTGGCCTGGGCTGGGAAGTCCAGCACAGGATTGTGCTGGTGTTGATGCCTGCTACAGGCTGCATGGAGCATTGCAGTCATCTCGGGGCACTGCTGAGGGAGCTGCAGGCTCAGGGAAGGAGCCCGGAGGGGGTGATGAGTTCCATCCTGGAGGCACAAAGTTTGAAGTGTCTAAGGGAAGATGCCCTGTGGACAGCTGCATGTACTAGTGCAACCACCGGAGGGGTGGGGGGGGGCTGGGAGGGGCTTCACATGAGGTGACTGTGAAGAGATAAGCTGCTGCAGCAACCGTGGGAAGGAAAGAAGAGATACAACAGCGAGTGCCCTCAACTGGCCATTCGGCGTCATGCTTAGGTGTCTCTCCCCTTCACACTTCCTGTGTTTAGGCTTTTCCCCTCTGTTATGGTTTGTGTCTAGGTGGTCCCCCAAAGCCTCGTGCAGTCTTGGGGCGGCTTCTGGAGTTTGTGATTGATTACTGTGGGTGTGGATGCTGCACCTGCCCTGGGGCAGGTAATTTGCATTACAATGTAAGGTGGGAAGAGAAGCCAGCTGCTTGAGCTGCTGCTACCCCTCCCTTGTGCGCTTGCTCTTTGCCTCTGCCATGAAAGGTTGTTCTCTGCCTTGCCCCACTCTGCTTTGGAGCCAGCTGAGTATGGACTGAAACCTCCAGTCACTGTGAGTTTCCTTTCTTCATTTTGAGTGTCGGGCATTTGTCCCAGCAACGAGAGAAGAGTAACTAAGACACCCTCTTTCCACCTGTGTCTACTTCCCTGATTTTTTGTTACATTGGAATATGAAGTCTTCCGTCTCAGGAGCACAAGATCCGGCCTAATAGACATATACATAAGTCAATAATTCATTCGCGTCTACTGTGGAGCGCGCAGCAGGGCACCGGCCTCTGCTCCTCACTCACCAGCACCTCCGGGCTTCTCGTGAGCTTCATCGCCGCTGCTGCCCTCTGCTGGCCCGACCACGCGCATACACTTCGCGTCTCTGATCCCTCAGCTCACTGCACCCAGGCAGAGTCTCAACGTGGGCATGCGCCCAACTCCTTTCTTAA